TGCAGTTGAAAGGGTGGGGTGGTGGGAAGAACCAGAGGTCTTTTTCAGATTTTCAATGGGACTCACTTTATTACATGGTTGTGTAAAAGCAACAGCTAAGAAATGCAATTGCTCCATGAATGAAAAAGCCAGGAGCACGAAAAGTTCAAGATAACTGCAAGGTTGGAAATAAGAGCAAACAACTACACCTCCCTCCCAAGTACCAGTATGCTCGGAATCTGAAGCAAGCCCTGGCAGCAAACTAAGAATGACAGTCTATTTCCTGTGGTTTATTAAGTTTTGGCCCCACAGATAAGACTGCCAGAAAAGCAGCTGTACTTTAAGTGGTCTGGACATTTACTCATCTGAACATAAACAAAGATCAGCTCATTTAAATCCCTACATGCCTACTCAGCTGCTGGGACAAGGGCAGGCCTGGCTCAGCAAAGGCCAAATGGAAAAGGAGTGGAATGGGGATGAAGGATCCCTGGACTATGACAGATTCCCTGAGTCTTCAGGACCCTCAGGGGCTTAAGGCCCTAAACAGAAGATTCACTGTTAGCCTTAGCACCTCTGCAGTGGCCTCCCTGGCACCCCACTGCCAGTGAATCCATAACCACGGTGAATAGAACCATCACGTACATCCTTTAAGTGACTGTGTTTTTAGACCACACACAAAATTATTAATGTAAACCGAAGCACTACATTTAGTGATAAACACCTACTTCATAAATATCAGGGAATGAAAGCTTCCCAAATAGTTGAAAACAACTGAACAAATAAAGGAGCCTAACCCTAAGTTTAAAACAAAAACATTTAAAAGAAATACTGCAATTATTAACTAAAAGATAAGATTTAATAACATGGGAAAAAAAACACTGGGTAGTAGAGGGATTAATTTGCAGAATATAATTACTTCACAGTGAGATTTAAATATTCATAACAATCTCCTGGTTTTAGTAGACAGACAGCCACTGATGGACATTTTTTCACATTTCTTCCAATAAGCTCTTCCCCTCTACTCTTTCATACAGAGTAAGACAATAATGTGATCAAACATTATACCATCAACTGCAAGTCATCTTTTGCTCCCCTCCTATTAGGAAATTACCATGACCACTTGACTGTGCCACTCAAGAGAAGCAGGGCACAGTCAACTGGGTGTCACGGATTAAAAACACGAGAAGTACCACATCACATTTATTCCAACCTGGACACATTGTCAGAGATGTGGTAAGTGAACTAGAACACTGGCGTTCCCTATGGGGTCATCAGTTATGGACACATTACATTCTTTTATCGAGCCTGGCATTGAAATCTCCTTTTCCATCTATAGGTTTTTAAAAATAAAATACAAAAGCCACAGGAGCAACCCTGACAGAGAAGTCTTGCATGCAGCCTTCTCCTGAGAAAGCATGTAATCTTAGTTAACCCCAAGGTCAGAAAATGTTCTTGTGGTGTTAATGTTACAAGGAAAACAGCTGAACTGCCTGGCTCAACTAAAACAGTCCTTGAGCTTATTGGTCAGTTTGTTAAATGTCAGAGCTCTTCACATTGTTGAAAAAAGAAAAAAAAGGCATCTCTAATTATTTAAACATTAAGTTATCCTGAATGTTCTATTAAACAACATAAAAGAGTTCCTTGGCAAGTGTGTTAAACTTTACCACCTGTTTACAACATCCCCCTTCTTGGCAGAGACCACCAGACCAGTTGAGTCAGTTGCCAAGCCTCCTTTGAATTAGTAATAAGTTCTATTTTCCTTAAATAGAAACAAAACTCCTAAAACTGAACAAACAAAAAAGCATGCATCCCAATCTCTTTCTGGCTACACTGGGGGCAAAAGCTCCCTTTTCTACCCCAAAGAGGGCCAGGCTATTGCATTGCAATGCCACAAAAGCCATTCTCAGAGCTGCACCAAGGTCTCCACGTACAGAAGGCCTCCCACCTCTGGACCCCACCATACATTTGTCCCCTTGACCGCCAATACCATCCATTTACTTCATGACTGAGTACTGGGATTGGGGGATGGTGCCGAATTAGCTGTTTGTCCCCTGTGGCCTCTCTGGCAAGGGCACAAAAAAGGAGAAATATAAGGTATGACAAAACGAAATCTTCCCCTGAGGTGGGCTGCGGGGTCCCGCGGATAGGTGGCTCCTCAAGACCAGTGAGAGGGCCTCCACACCCCTGGAGGCCCTGAATCTACCTAGTCAGCAAATCGCTGAAGGAGGTGCTCCTCCCGCCTCAAGCTGCCGCCCGCGCCGCCGCCCCCGCTGTCCATGAAGCGGTCGCACGGGAACTCGATGAGGTCCGCCTCGCTGAGCGCGCACACGGCGGTGCGCGGCCGGTGCGACTGGAATCCCGAGAAGTCGGCTGACACGCCGGTGCCCATGGAGCGCAGGGGCCGTCGGGTAGAGTACATGTGGCGAACGTGGACTGGGGCCCCGCCCTTCCGCCTGGCCCGCAGCTTCCTCCGCAGCCAGCGCGACGCCCAGGCCGCCAAGGCCAGGAGCACCAGCAGCGCGTTGACGGCCAGCAGGGCTAAGGTCAGCAGTTGGTAGTCGACGCTGCTCCGGCTCCCCGGCTCCGGCAGGGTAACCAGCCCGGCGCAGTGGTCCCGGGGAGCCACCGGGCAGACCCGGCCACCGAGCACTCCCTCCACGCACACCAGGTAGGGGGTGTCTCCGCGTAGTTCGCGCAGCGTGGCCGAGTCGCTGCGCTCGGGCAGGTAGACGAAGCGGTGGAACTTAGGCTGCTGGCCAAAGCGGTCGAAGAGCAGGCGGAAGCGCGCGCCGCCCAGCGGCCTGGGGCTGCGGTGCTCACGCACCGCCCAGCGCACCGAGGCGCTGTCGGCGCCCACTGCCTCTACCGTCAGGTTGCACAGGATGAACTTGTTGAAGTCACACGGGTCGGACACCAGCGGCGGCAGGCCGACCCCGCCGTCGGATTGGGCGGCGCTCTCCTGCTGCTGCGCGGCCAGGCGCTGCTTCGCTGCGTGCTGCCAGAGGTCGCCGCCGGCTGACTCAGAGCCGAGCTTGGCCGTCGGGGTAGGCTCCGCGTGGGCGGGAACTGACGGAGTAAGACGTCCCCGCTCAGGCTTCTCGAGCAGGTCTAGGGGGTGTGACGCCGGGCTGGCGGAAGCAGCGGCGTTGGAGCCCAGCTGCTGGAGGCCAGGGCGCCGGCTCAACCTTAGGGCGCTGCGGTTACCCAAGAGCTCCCTGGCGGCTCCATCCCAGGCAATACCCGGCAGAAATCGACCCCGTTGCTGTGGCTGTAGCTGCGGCTGAGGCGGCAGTTCCTCCGCGAGGGCACCTGCTGGGAGCGCCACCTTCTCCCCTGGGGCTGTGGGTAGGGGCCGCCGCTTGCCATCGGCAGTTGGGGAAACCGAGGGAGAGGGATCTGCGCAAGATTCGTTCTGCAGTTGCTGGTCATCCAGGTAATCCAGGTACTTGCCCCGCAAGGCCGGAGGGTGGCGACACTGTACGAAAACGGTGAGGAGCCGGCCCTGCGAGTGCCAGTCGCCCATCCAGCGCTTCAGGCCCCGCAGCCGGCAGTCGCAGGTCCAGCCGTTGCCATCTAGATCCAGTCGGTAGAGGGCCGGGCTGGCCGCGAAGATGTCCCCGGAGAGGGCGCTGAGCGCGTTGTCGCGCAAGCTGAGCTCGCGCAGCCGGCCCAGGTGGCCAAAGGTAGTGGGGTGCAGAGCCGACAGCTCGTTGCCGCTCAGGTCTAGCGCCTCCAGGCTGTGCAGAGGCTCCAGCAGCGCCACGGGCAGCTGGCTCAACCGGTTGCCTTCCAGGCGCAGCTCGCGCAGGGCCTCCAACCCCCAAAAGGCCTCGGGTGCGAGGTGCGTGAGCTGATTGCCCCTGAGCGAAAGTAGGCCGAGGCGCGGCAGGTGCTGGAAGACGCGCGGCCCGAGGTGCTGCAGGCTGTTGGCTGAAAGGATGAGGGTGGAGAGGGAGCGCAGCGGCGCGAATGTGGCTGCGTGGCGTAAGGAGGGCTGCAGCTCGTTGGCAGAGAGGTTGAGGAAGCGCAGCTTCCCCAGCTGGGCGAAGGCGTTCTTGCCCAGAAAGCGGATCCGGTTGGCCTCCAGATGTAGGTAGAGCAAGTTGCCCAAGGGGGCAAAGACGGCATCCGGAAGCGCCCCCAGGGCGTTCCCGTCCAGCCGCAATTTGACTAGACTCTCCAGGCCCTCGAAGGAGCCGCGGCTGAGGCGGCCAATCTCGTTCCCGTTGGCGTAAAGGATGCGCAGTTTGCGCAGCGGTGCCAGGGTGCCCGGGGCGAGCGCCTGCAGGAGATTGTTGCCCAGGTAGAGCTCCTCCAGCCGCGAGAGCTTCTCGAAGGTCTTGGGGTGTAGGGAGCGGATCTGGTTGTACTGCAGGTCCAGCCGTCTGAGCTGCCCCAGGCGGTGGAAGTCGAAGGCCGTGATGTTGGTTATGAAGTTGCCGCCGAGGCTGTAGGTGAGCACGTCCTGCGGACTCGGGAGCAAGCTAGTCTTGGGCACGGCGCGGAGCCCCCTGTTGGTGCACAGGAGGTGCTGGGGGTGCTGGCAGTCGCAGCGCTCCGGGCACACCGGCTGGGCCCTCGGCGGGAGCGCGAGGCAGCCGCACACCACGAGCAGGAAGCGCACGGCGCGGGCAGCCTCCATTGCCGCCCGCCCTGCGTGCTGCGACCGGATCGTCCTCTTGGCCCGCCGGCTCTGTGTCTCCTCTGCATTCCCCTTGGCCTGGCTAGAGTCGCTAAATGGCCTCTTTCGGACTTCGCAGCGCCGTCCAGCCCCTCCTCCGCCCTTTGTCCGGTGGCTGGCCCGGGTCTTTGCAGGCGGGCTTTGCCCGGCCAAGTCAGGCGGCGCTGGGCGCTCCGCGAGCTCCGGGTGCTACTTGTTGCATTTCTGCAGAAAACTGTTTCTCCGGGTGCGCGTCGGGGGGCGGAGGGAGGGAGCAAGACCTGAGCTTTTTGTTTGCAGCTTGAGTCCGGAGAGCTGGATTCCCTGGCACGGATTCTCCCCGCCGAGCGGATTCCCCAGCTGCAGGCGGGAGCCCTTCCAAGAGCTCCTCCGAGCGCGGCTTGGCTGCTGCGCCCCGGCGGCTCAGCCCCCGCAGCCGACGGCTCCTCGCTCCCGGTCCGGGACCGGTAGCGCGGTCTCGGTGGAGCAGCACCGGGAGGAGTCGGGGTGTGCAGGCTGCGTCCGGAAGGGACCCAAGTCGGCCAGTGGCGAGCAAACCGGGCGGAAATTCGTTCTTCCCACACTCTGCCCCCCGGGGATGCAGGCGGAGAAAAAGGAGACGGCGGAGGGAGGACAGACCCCGGCAGGGGGAGGAGGAAACGCTAAGTGGCTCCGCGTCTGGTCGACCCGAGCCCGGGACGCCAAGTGAGAAAAGTAGGGATTAAAAACAGCTGTACGGGTCGGACACGCCAGGCTGGGGGCGGGGGTGGATTACCGGGCGAGCAAGCGGGATTTGCAGACAGAGACCTTTTTATTTTAGACGAGTACACCAGTCGCTTAGGAGCAGTGCTAGTACTCCTCTTACTCGTTTTCAAGTTTCTTGCTCTTCCAGGTGCCACCTTGCAAGCAGTTCGGGCGGCAAGGAAACCGCCAGCGTTCTGCAGAAAGTTTTGGGGAGCCCAAGGTTGTCTGCCAGGAGCTGTCGTTGGGCTACTATCGGAAGAGGCTATTCGAGCCGTTCTGACTGTTGCGTGTTTGGGTTTTTGACATCGTTGGACCAGTGGCCGGTAGCCGAGGAGAGGCACCGCCCCTTTTCAGGGATCCGAGCTGAGTAGTTGCTTGGCCCTGCCGTAGGCCAGAGAATGGAGAAAGCTCAGAACTGGTTCTACCACCTGAAAGTATCTCTGTCAGATTTTGGTGATTTAGTCCCATTAATTCTTCTCCAGTCTTAGGGCCCTTGGGGTAGGCTCTGCACGTGTACATGTACATAATAACCTTCAAAGACCTTCTGGTGCCTGCTACCTGCTGGGCCCTCCCCCGTTATGCCTGGGCTTGCCGTGATCTTCAAGATTTTTGGCCCCCAATTTTTTAGATACGGCTTAGTTGGGGAAGAATAAACATTTACTACCAATAGGGAATAGAACTTTTATTAGTAGCTCCTTTCAGGGCAGCTGCAGCTGACAATGAGACTGGGCAAAGTAGAGCTTTTTAACTGTTCCTGCAAGCTATCCCCGCTCCCCCATCTCAAGGGGTTCAGAAAATGTAATTTTAAAGACCTACTCTATGGAAAATGAAAGAAAAGAGACATATCCTCATCTCAAGAGGCTGACAGTCTAGTGGGGACAGCAAGACATGAAAGGTTAAATAATAACATAGGGCTATAATATGAGAAAGCTGCTGAGATGCAGATGATTTTGAATAATTCCAATGTTCTATGGTGCTTAATTGCCTCATTTAGCAATTCACATAGGCAAATGAATTGAAAGAAAGATGAGACAGACCATCGGCAGCATGGTCAGGGGTGAGCAGGGACCTGGGCCCCAGGGAGGTGGGGTTGGAGAATGGAAGGCAGGTAGGTAGTGAAAGGTCCATTCAGGGCACAGTGAACAGAGCAAGTTTGCTTGTGATTTGCTTTGAGTTTTTGAATAAAGGATGAACTTGGGGGACCAAGTGTCTGTCTGAACAAGATGAAAGATGAAGTTCCCCAAGCAGTTTGGTAGTTTGGTTTTTAGTTCTCATTGTGAGAAACTTCTGAAACCTCTTTCATTCTTGACTCCAGTCCTCTTTATGAAGGTCTGGCTGCACTAGAGGGTAAGGCCCATTATTGTCTGGTGTAGCACAAGTTCTCCTGATCCGGGCCCCAGAAACTACTAGGAGGACCTCAGGCCTTGCTGGTAACAGAGGCCGTCCAATTTTTCAGAGGAGAGAATACTAAGAAGCTGCTGTCTTTTAAGTTGAGCCCCTGGGATGAGCCACTGGGATCTACCTGGGATGCGGCTGTAGCAGCACCTGCATTTGAACCTACAGCCTCGGGACATACAAACAGCCTGCTGCGCAGGGTAGAGGCTGGAAACTGAGAGGTGTGCTGTGGAAGAGGGCATGAAGCAGACATCAGACCCTATTCCTTTTTTTTTTTTTTTAACTTTTTTTTAATTGAGTTATGGTCATTTTACAATGTTGTGTCAAATTCCAGTGTAGAGCACAATTTTTCAGTTATACATGAACATACATATATTCATTGTCACATTCTCTTTCGCTGTGAGCCACCACAAGATCCTGTATGTATTTCCCTGTGCTACACAGTACAATCTCAGACCCTATTCCTTTGCGTAAGCTTCCTCCTCTCCTGACTCTTTGAAGAAAACTTTCAGAGTAAACTTTCACAACAGCAGACACATTCCCTCAGAGGCCACTCTAGTTTGGCTGATCACTCACTCCACTGGGGGTGTCTTTCCTTTGTAGATGCCGCTAAGTAAGATTTACAAAGTTATCAGACCCCTGCAGATGTTCAGGATGTTTTATTGTTTTGGCTGTTTTTGGTATTATTGCCCAGTGTTTAGTATTTCTACCAGTAGTTGTGGATTGCAGGTAGAAATAACGTGATCATATGTGGTTTCATGACAAAAGACAGTTGCGTTTCCATAACATTCTGTTTTCTCAAAGTAATCCATCTGCCACATGGAGTTAACCGTGCTTAAAATATATATATAGTGTGCAGATTTCACACAGGTGTAATCAGTTTCTGATGGGTGTTGCTAGCACCCCGAATCCAGTTTCAGTAAGTGTAAGATTTTGAGATCTGCACATCAAGTGTGTGTTTATATGAGTTCATATAAATTCTTTCTGAAAAAGTGTGATTGCCATCTTTTCAACAAATGCTTCCCTTTTTAAAGGCATATTGCCTGAGGTCAGCTCTACAAATGAATGACATTAAAAACTTCAGAGTACACATATGTGGTATTCGTGTATCCTCCAGTGGTCTCCATGTCTGTAATGCTGCATGTTCAGATGTTTGATTTACTTTCAGACCACCTCTCTCTTCCAGGAGTTAAAATGATGTTCTGCTTGAATTGGGGAGTACTTAGAGCCCCTGGTAGTGAAAAGCTCTAAAAGCAACTCCAAAGCTGTGTGTTGCTGCTGGTAATCAGGCAAGAAGCACTTAGTGCAAATTCAGCATGTGCCACATCCCAGAGTGAGCCCTGGGAATTCGGAGCTAATAAGAGACAGGGCCAGACCTCAGGGTGCAGCAACTTAGTGGGGAGGCTGATGGGTAAGGAGCAATTGCCACGCCAGGTAACAAGAGCTGTAGGAGCCCTGTGGAGGGCCACCTGGCTGGACTGAGAGCTTGAGGAAGGCTCCAGAGGTGGGAAGTGCCCAGTACTACATAGGTAACAAGAGCAAGGCCGTAGAAGAGGAAGCCTGGGGACACGTGCCGGAGAGTGCCTTAGGAGCCTCTAAATCTTCTGTCTGAATCTTTGTTGGTGAGGTTCTTTTGACATCTGTCATAACAACCTTGCTCATATGACTTCCAAATAAATATTCCCTTTTTCTCCTTTAAGGCTTTCAGCAGGCAGTTGACATAATCATATCTGCACTGCAACATCAAGAGGTATTTCTGCCTAAACTAAGTAGGTGCTACCCAAAGAAAATGTTATCTCCCTAGTTCTTGCTTTCTCGAACCTTGAAATCAGTGACAGAGATTTGTGTGGGATGTATGTTGATAGACCATCCAGACCAAGGGATTCACTTATGAAACATGCATAGGCATTGTACAGATACTATATACACAACACCACTCTGGGGCCAGGGCAATCTGAGCCCGTCCCCTGGACCCTGCACTTCAGTGGGCCGTGTTCAGGTCCTCCTCTGGTTGTGTCCCTCCCCATAAGAGCAGAATTTCAATTCCAGGCTTCCAAAGAGATGCACCCACCCACTGCCCACACCCCCCACTCCTGCTCAGGGTTCCCAGGATCCTGGACTTCCTTACTTAACTGCCTAAGTCTGTGTAGGCCTTTTCCCCATCTGTCCTCCTGGGGTCCAGTCATACCACAAGTGAATATACCCCTAGGGTCAAGAGAAAGCTCGAGGGCAGCTGTCAAAAAGAATCTGGAGGTGTGGGCTGGGATTTCCACTCTAATGCCCGGGAGGCCTGTGGGAGATGCCTGGTATTGCAGGAGCAAGAGGAGGAGGCATGGGTCAGGGTTTTCTCTCACACTCTAACCCCGGGCTTCTCAGACACTGGAGACAGTTCTGTCCATATGTAGTATTTTAGGAGGAGAAAGTACATGTACTTGAATTAAAGAACAAGGAGAAAAAATTACAGGAGTTTGAAGGAAAGCATTTTTTTAATGTAAATTCTGCTTTATTATAACATAGCCTACACCTAATTTTCCATAAAGAGCAATAATTTTTAGTAAGAGCAAGGACCTCATTGTCTCTATTTAAATGCCTGTCTCTTAACTATGCAATGTCTTTGTTTATAAATGGATCCCAACTTGATCAGTTTCCAGGAGAGTCAAGTATTGATTATGCTCACATGTATAATTTGCATAATCACAAGTAGAAATCAGGAAGGAAAGCTGTTCGTAGGAGAAACAAGAGCTTTGTCATTTCACTTTTGGAAAGCTCGCTCTTTAAATCTCAAGCACACTGGGGGTAGTTTTAGAGGTCAGAAGCACAAGCAAGTTTGGGCTGATTCCCTGACAAATGTGTGTGGCATAAAGGTTTTCAGCTATTCTTGCCCAGGCATGGAATCTTCTTGGGCTTGCCAGGGATGCACACACTTTCTTCCCAAGCAACCTGTGGTTCTTTGGAACTTCAGCTGTCGAGGCAGGAAGGATTCCAAGCCATGTCTTCAGCAGCTCCTGGAGCTGGCATGAGTTGGCCCAGGCGGCCCAGTACAGGACAGGTTAGGGGGAGGAGAGCGCAGGCCTGGCTCCCCGCTGCAGGGAGAGGTGGGCCTGCCACGCCCTGCTGGAGCAGCATGCAATGTACACTCGGGGCAGCCTGCAGAGACGG